CTGAGAAATATTTTTCAGCAGCTCTCAGTTTAAGCAGGTATCACCCTTTTTCTTTCTGCCTGTAATGTCACGCCTACTAATGCCTTTACTGCGTGTTATTTTTCTAGACTAAATGCTTCATCTGTGGGATTGGCAATGACTACTTTGACACGACCCCCCATGGTTTTGAAACACATACGTTGCAAGAGCACAACTTAGCCAACTACTTGTGAGTACTTTTGGTGGACAGGGGTGCCGGGCAGGGGGAAGGAGCGGTAGAATAACACCAACAGTTATGTCCTTTAGTTCAGTCTCTGCTGATGCCATTTCCTCTTATTTCTCTAAGAAATAGTGGCGATTAGAAAAGAACTTCCAGGAGTCCTTGTCCATATACCCTGCCCTCCCATGTTTTCGTAGGTGTGGGTTGTGGACTATTCCTGCTCTGAGCAAAAGTCAGTCCCTCAAACTGGAATTAGATGCCATCTCGTCTCAAGATGACATAACTCCAGCAATTTTTTTCTTTACTGGAATTGTCCTATCACTATACAAATTTTTTGAGAGACAACAAAAAATCTGTGGCCCCGCTTTTACTTACAGCCATTGCACTGCTTCTTTCTCTCCCTTCCAGCAAAACTTAAAAAGTGTCCATGCTCACTGTCTCCGATTTTTCTGTGCCCACCCAGTCAGGGCTTCCTCCCATCAAGGTGGCCAATGGTCCGAATGTTGCTGGATTCGTGGTGAATTTTCAGTCCTCACTGTGTCTGTCCTCTCCTAGTGGTACATGGGCTCCATGAGAGCGGGAGATTTGGGGACGTGTTTTCACACTGCTCTCTCCCAGCACCTAAGGCCTTGGCACCCAGTAGGCAAACAATAAACATTTCACTTTTTCCAAGGTAAAGCATTCACTCCAGAACAAGTTGTTTAGAGCCTATTATGTACCATGGACTGACTGCCCCTGAAATCGATAATTTACAGAATTTATAGAGACTAGAGATTACCTGACAATTCAGATTCTGTAAGTGATCATTTGCAAGAAAAACAAAACTGCTCAGCTCTGCTCCCTGGCCTAGCCCTTCCCTTCTATGTCTACACTGTATTTAGAAAATCCTAATCTTTAAAATGGTACAGACGTAGCCTTTGAGAAAGGTGTTATCAGAGAAGTAGGAAGAATATATTCTTCTCCCCAATGCAAGCCTTTTGCTAGTTTAAGAGTTTCTCAAGATGAAAACACACGTTTTTTCAAAATAACTTTGGCATGCCCTTCGCCAAGTCTGACCATCACCCACCCACGTTCATTCTCACTGAGAGAATTTGCATCTTAATGGAGGTGATCAGGTGGATGTCCCTCTATAAAAGGTGAGCACATGGCCATGTGTCAGGACCAGTGAAGGAGAGAGTGAAAGGGTTCTATGTTATCTGGCTATGTCTTCCCCAGCCCTCTGTAATAGTTTTCTATCTCTGTGCCCCTCTCACAGAGAGCTTGAGGGGAAAGCCCCCTCCCTGAAGTAAATGTGCTAGGAAAGGGATAATGTCCTACATGCCTGGGTCTCCAACAAGGTAAAATACTGGCCATGCCTTGTTTCTCAGTGCGATAAAGGAAAGGGAGGAAGGAAGCTGGTGCGTTTACAGCCTCTACCGTGGGCCTCAGTCTGAAGCTACAAACCTAAGGAGACCCTGAGAGAACTCAGAATCTGGGGCTCAGGCCCTCTCCACCCTCAGAAGAGTGTTATTTCTACTTTCTCTTTCTTACCGACAGCTTTACGATCCTTTCCCTGAAGGGCACGAGACCGGCTCCTCTGGAAGCTGTCTCTGAGGTTGTGTAACGCGAGCTCGGCCTCCCGGGATACTTGTGTGTTCCCAACACAGAGACTCAAATCTCAGACACATCACAGTTAGAGCCAGTGAAGCCACACCAGCATTACTCAGTCTATAACAAAAACAGAACTGCATTTCTGGAAGAATCGGAGCAATTTAAAACACATTCCAAAAATCCCATATCCTTGAGACGCACATATAATTTCAATTCTCCATTCTTATAAGATGATAAATTGGCCTACTAAGAAGTGTGCGGGAACAGTTTGGTTTACCATTTTATTGTTTAGATTAGGATATTTTTAAACAATAAAATGATAGCCAAAATGCTTCCTCATAAGTGATCTTAGCTCACAGTAAAAAAGGGGTCTCTTTTCATGAAAAGGCTAATTTTGAGATTAATGTATATCATTAGAAAATGACTGTCATTTTTCCAGTCTGGAAAGTCCTAGACAACAGCATGATAAAAAGCATGTTTGAACCGCTCCTCTGGTGCCTTTGATTGAGTAAATGAATTTAGGCTTCCTAACTGAAGTATCTAATATTGTCTTCCTCTCATTTATTATACCTGTCTTCTTTGTTCCAGATTCTTCCTGATGTATTTGATTAACAAAGATGAAACAGAGCACACGGGTCAGGTGAGGGGGGAAAAAATGTCTAATTAAGCATCATACTCCTGTGGCAGAGCTTCCTTTTCCTAAGTCTCAAGGATCGGTTGAGCACAGGCTACATGAAAGAGACAGATAATCCCATCAGCCTCTCCCATGCCTTTTCCCACCATCCCCTGTGACTTAAGAAGCCAAAACTCTAAGGCAACTCCAATCTGTCCCAAAAGACCCGATTATCCTTCCCAACAAACACTGGCATTTTCTAAACCCTTCAGAGTTAAATAGCTGGAGGTTGGGAGCATGAGAGAGCAAAAGACAATGAGGAGCTAAGTGGGTGGCGATGACAAAGAACAGGAGAATCAGATAAAATGCCATGAGGATCGCACAGGAAAGATAACCTTGTGTGTGGGTGACGCGGGGGATGTGGAGGGGTGGGTATGAGAGTATGAATGAAGGTTTGTGTCAAAGGGAAAAAGAAATGTAAAGACAGAACACAGGCGGAAGAGACAGATTATCAAATGTTATAACATCACTGGATTTGTAGGAATTCTTCAAAGTGCAAACACTTAGGAGAGAGGCAGCTGGTTTCCAGATCTGGCTTTAGCTCTCCAGGCACCTGCCTAAGCCAGTGCTCTATGTTCCCTCAGCGTGCGTTCTTCTATCAATTACACATGATGTGGAATCAGCCTACTGTTAATCTTTAAGTATTTCTAGTGGCAGTCACTGAGTTGGTTTCAGTGGGGGGGGGG